TTGTTATATCTCCTCCTAAATCCCATAACATAACACCACCTAATTTCATATATGCTGCATAGCATGACTTTAAAGTTACAGACGCTACGCTATCATAACTCACAAAATTTTTAGAAGACGCATCATAAGCATATGCAAATCCATAATTATATTCAGAATTATCTTTTCCCTTAGTTAAAGTTTTACCTAATTCAGGTTTGATTGATTTGCCTATATTTGTATTATTATATAATGGAGTACTGCCCTGACCATTAAAATTAGCATATAAGTAACTACCTTTATCTGTAGGAGTAACTCCAGATACTTCTCTTCCATAAGCAGCTGCACCAATAATAATTTTTTGAGGTTCAACTCCTGCGTGAGTCCAAGCTTTTACTGTAGAATGAATGTTAAATGTACCTGCGCCATCCAATTCTTTAGGTGCTCTAGGATCACAAAATAGAGCAGAATGAGGAGCTGTAACCTTACTCCAAACTCCATTATAATCGTATGTCATCAGATTTATTTGATCAAGTTTTTCAGATAAAATTTTGACTGAATTAACTGATTTTCCATATTTTTTTAATGAGTTAATTTTAGTAACTGTAGCAGGATCACCACTGATAGAAATTGATAACTTTACTCCAGGAACATTAGCTTTAAGCTGAATAATATAATTAATAAAATAGCCAATTTCTTCATCAGTCATTTTTTGCCAATGATTTGAATATGGTTCTAAATCAATATCAATACCTGTAATGTTATTTTTAACAAAGTCCTTGTTTTCCGGGCAAATATTATCAGGATTAAATGGAGGAAATACACCCCACTCTTTATCATTACAAGTTTTTGGCATTGCTGCTGGTAAAAACTTATTTAGAAATTTATAAGGATAGTTATCAGGAGAAAATGTTGATAACTCTGCTTCCTTTTTCATTGCCTCCAAAAGTTGTACACTTCCAGACCAACCACCAATTGATAAAACTAAATCTTTGCCAAGCTTTGCTACCTTAAGCAAATTACCTTTACCATCCCAAGCATTATATTTTGTTTGGTAATTCCATGTCTTATTAAATGATATATTACTTTTTAAATTTGGCCAATATGAAGGAAGATT